TGACATTGCAGGTGGTGGGGGTGTTTTTGTCATTTTATATAGTAGGATCTTTAATTAAATTAGTAAACCTAAGGGCTTTTTCATAAATTTTTCAAATTTACCTCGTAATACTCCCCTATCCAACAATCCAATACTATCCTTAAAATCCTATCCAAAATACTACACCAAACGCACCCATAGATTCTTAATTTTGTAATTAATTTTGATTATGTAATACTATAATTTAAAGCCAATAATACCATTATATCACAAATTTTTTTAATTAATTATAGAGATGATATTAATTTTTAGAAAATTTTATTATTTTATTAATTTTTTGAAAAATGTGTATCCTATGATACGATATGCTACGCAATACACGATTTAAAAAATTAAGTTTTTGATACAAGATATGATATACGATTTGACAATTATGATCTAGTTAGATTGCTTCAACTCATAATCCATTCTTATTAATTTATATTTGGTCAAATTGGGTGTTTTGAAGACCATTTGCAATATATCCAACAGATATGATATATGGACCCATTATTTGTCTGTCTTACCGATTTAGACATCTTAAATTATATATTTTCATCCTTAATATTGTTCAAAGTTTGACAGTCTTGACACTTTAGCCAAACGCGAATATGATAATAATCTAACAAAACACTCATGACGAAGTGGAAACACAAAAGTGATAAAAAAATAAAAAATAAAAAATCTAATAGTTAACTTTCTTAGGGATATCGAATACACAACAAAAATAACTTAAAAATTTATTGATAAAGTATGAAATACTGATTACATTAAGATTGTGTTTGGTTAGGGGTCTAGGAAGATTACTCCGATAACTTATCTTTGATTCCGGACATTTTCTTATTTAGTTGTCGAGTAATAAAAGATTTTGATAATTTTTCAATACCAATAGTAAGTACTATAAGTGATATAAGGGGTAATCAAATTACTAATTCAGGGGGTGTTATTCTTTGATTACTGGGATAATCCAAATTTTATTCCCGTTTTACCTTAATTAATAAAATGTTTGGACACAAATGCCCTCATATGTCTATAAATAACAATTACCTAAAACCCCCTACATCTGAGAGTTTAGTTAAACACCTCCAACCACAATAAAAGTTTAAAATTTAACAAAAGACCCCTATCCACCAAGATGACTGAACTGCCAGATCAAGTCGGTAGTGAGCCATTTCGGCGACTATTGTTCGCGGCTAGCAATCATCTTGGGTAGTTGGGGGTATTTTGTTAAATTTTAAATTTTTATTGTGGTTGGGGTGTTTTAGCTAAATTCTCAAATGTAGGGGGTTAGAATAATACTCTAAATAATAATAATAATATAATAAGGGTGCATTTGGATCGGGGGCATATAAGATAACGGAGGTAATCTTCGTTTATTTTGCATGATTCCGGTGTTTGGTTTGTAAGTAATAAAATATTATGAGTATCTTTTATTGCAAATAGTGTTTACTGTTGGTAATATAGGGGTAATCAGATACCCTCCCCAAGGGCTGTTATTAAAATATGACCGAGGTAATCTAATTTTTATACCTATTTTGCCCTTAATTAAATATCATTTCGGACATAATTGCCCTCAAATATAAACCAAATAACAATTATCTAGCCCTTCTACATTTGAGAAATTAACTAAAACACTTCAGCTACAAAAAAAAGTTTAAAAGTTAGCAAAATACCTTCAGTCACCCAAGACTACCGCCAGTCGCTGGCGATGGTTGCCATAATGGTGCACGACGGGCTGTTTCATGGCCACATATTTGGTTGTGAAATGGCCATGGATTTGTGATCTATGGCCGGAAATGGCTTTGCCGGCTCACTACCGACCATATACAACCGGTTGTGCGCCATTTCGTCTATTTTTTGCGGTGGCCAATGGTGGTGGTTGGCTGTTGGCAGTGGCTAGGGGTGATTTTGCTACAAATTAAGGTTTTATATTGCTAGGGTGTTTTGACAAAATTTCAAATGTAAAGGGTTAAAAAAATAATTCAAAAAAGAATAATATTATATTAATATTTAAAAAGGAGAGCAATTTAGTAATTTATATAACATATCCACCCAACCAATCATATTACTTACCAATTTATTCGAACCAATCAAAAATATTTCTTAAACATTCACAAAAATCTTCAAAGTGTTCTATCTTTCCATTAATATAATATCTTCCAATAATAAAATATTATATGATCTAAACGCACCCTAATAGTATTAAAAAGGAAAGACAATTAAGTAAAAAACTTCTCCAGAATTCTTTTATTCCTTCCAACCAAATATATTAATTATTTATACCCACTAATCTAACTAAACGTATTATATAACATTTCCAATAATTGTAATCTATTTCACTGGTAATCCTATCTTTTCAATAATAAAACATTTTCGAAACCAAATACACCCTAATAGTTAACTACTTCTAATACTACGGGTTATGGAACGGATTAGAATTATTAGATTTATGAATTTGATAATTACGTTAACTGTGGAAATTACTTTAACAATCAAATTAACCTCCTACTTGATGTATTTCAAGAATGTTATCGATTAAAGATAAGATTTTTAGTTTCAAGTTTGAATGATAATTAAGTGCAGGAGACTTAGCTACTGGTTCATTCATCATTGCAAATGTGTCTAGAAACTCTTGCTTTAATATAATTGGAGATTCTGTTCGACACAAGTCAAGTAAAAGGAATAAATAAAATCTTACCCAGATCTTTGTGGGTCTAACAATTTTGATTTCTTCACTTGTAACGTATCTGATGTCGTATTCAGGTTTTAACTATAACTTTGTTGACTGGGTTGCCTACGCAGATTTTTATTTTTTATTTTTATATTGTTATTTTTTATTTTTTTTATTTTTTATAACCACAAGTGTTTAGGGTAATTTATACGCATATCAACTAATTCACTAAAATCCTAAAATTACTGGTTAAGTAAGAATTCTAGTGACCACCCCTACTAGTAATCGATAAAAGACTCAAATTTAAGACCTCTTGAGTAATACATTCAAGAGTTCCTATCAAACCACTCAACCATCAATAGGTTGTTTAGGCTACTCAGATTCACTCATTCAAATCCTGTATAATACATGATTGAAACTTGAAACTCATTTAATATAATCCTTTTCTTTACATTTTTAAATGATGAAAGATTGATTCCCAAATGATTTACGTTTACCGTTTATTTTTTATTTATTTATTTTATAATATGCACCAGTAGTTTCAAAACGTGATTTAGATTTTTGGATCAATCAAGCTGTATGATGCAAGCTGTATTACATTTTATCTTATATAGAAAGAGAAAGAAAGTTTTTTAAGAGAGCCGTGTGCTTGCCCAATTGTGGGATATGTAGCTTCTTGCATTAAGTAAAATTAAAGCAAATAAGTTGGTATAGTGCTAAAAAAGGTTTGTTTCATTTATTAATTTTTTAGGTTCAAATTATCTTAGAACCACCTATTAAATTTGTGACTTGTTTAGAATATTAGGTTTGTAAGATATTTAATAGACTTTAAAGATTAGTTAAAGTATGTGTAAATTAACTTGGACATCTCAGTTAAAAAAAAAAAAAAAAAATTAATTAAAGCAAAGAAGTTGTATGATTAGAAAGGGTTATTAACAATATTAAAATAAGTGAAGCAAAGAGAATACTTTAAGAGATGGGTCGGCGGGCACAAGATTGCAATGGATAAAGATGCATGATCTATTATATTAATATACTGGTTCTCTGTATCTAGACAGTCTGGCCTGCAACAGTAGAATCTGGTGACGCATATTTGGTGACATAAGTAATGAATTGTGGAAGATTTCAATGAGTGAAGCCTCAGGAGATTACCATGAGCTGTCTCTATTGTTTTCACAAATTCACTTCATTTTTTACTTTCAAAAGCATCTAGATGCAAGCTCAAGTTCAAGCCCCTAATTTGTTAATTTTTCCCTCGTGCTAAATTAGGCTCTCAATATCATGACAACGAAGTTTTTACTAATTGGGCCAGAAATAGCGGCAAGAAGTGACACTTTTCAAGCGCTCTCCTGTCTGGGACGATTCAACGTACCAACTTGTCTCTAGTTTCATTTTTCATTTTATAATCTTTACTGGTCTTAGTTTAGCTACCAAGTGAAGAGAAGATGAGTGAGGCCAGTAGCCAAGGTGGCGCCAACCATGCTGGAGGAGATAAAATATCTGGCTCAAACGGGCCCAGTAGAGGGACAATCGTGAAGAAAATTGTGCTCGACTCTTTAGGTAAGTCCAATGTATCTTAGGAAATCATCGAGAAGATATCTAATATGCAGTTTTGAGTGGTCAAGTCATATTCTTTTTGTTCAAATTTTCAAAGATGCAGTCACTATCATTAGAGGGTTATGATTTCGCAATTCATTGAATTGTTTGCCGCCTCCTACTAATAATTAACTAATACTCCTGTAAATCCTAATACTCTATGCATCAACAGACAACAGTAAGCAGGCTCAGTTAAGTTAATTAAGAACAATAGTTTTCTTCAACTAATCAAACTTTTCTGTTTTGTTCATGTATAATTTTTAACCAACCAAAGTCTTATGTAATACAGCATTGGATCAGGCCCAATTAAATGTCTAGATACTACAATTTCCTGGCTTTCATATCTTAGATTCCATAGAGCACTGTATTGAGCTTTCAAAAACAAATCTAATGTACCACTGGGTTGGTGATAGGCCCAAAATGTAGAGCCCAAGCCTCTATTTGGTAGTGGACTTAACAGTAGCAGCATAAAGTTTATGAGACATGATTAAATGGTAAAGCAAAGGGCCATATTTCCACAACCTAACCGTTGCACAACGGATTCATTCCCGGCACCCAATTTCAAAAATCTGAAAAAGGTGAAAACTAAAGCAAATTCCAATCTTTCTTTGCAAGCTTTTTTCAAACACAAACACAAACACCAAGACTATATATATATATATATATATGTAAAAAAAAAAAAATGTTACCTCATCTTCATTAACTTACACTCCTTTTCTCATTTGCCTCTTCATCTCCATTCAATTTCAACAACAATGGGTTGTTGCATAAGCAAATTTCGACCCAAGAAATCAAAAATTTCCATAGAAGAATTAAACCACGTTCAAGACAAGCTTGTCATCTCACAAGCTCCCAAAATTCCAACTCCAATTCATCTCTCAAACAAAATTTCCCCATCTCCTGCTTCACTTCCCAGTTGTACTTCGTCTGTTTCTTCCTTTACTTGCAGTACAGGCAACACTGCTGAATCATGCTCATCAATCTCAACTGCATCTTCCGTCTTGAGCTCCAAAGATAGATCTTTCTCCAATGAGTTTCTTTGGTCTTGTGTCAAGGAGAATCCGCATATAGTTCGCATTAATTCCATCAAGGAAGCTGCTCTCTCTTTAGCAACCTCCAAAGTTCATGCTCAAAAGTTTGATTCACCTGCTAAATCATTTCTGGCACCAACGCCGATCAAACACTCAATCCCACAAAGGATAAATGGTTCTACACCACAAAAGAGAGTCCGGTCAAGCTCACCAACTACTTTAACGCGACAAAAGAGCTTTCGTATGGAACCAGAGAGGCAGAATTCTTCGTATTCTTTGCCGAGTAGAACCTTGAGATCACCATCTCCTAGTAGGAGATTTACTAGTGGTGAAAGTAACAGGGGATTTTTGACAAATACAACTAAAGAAAGTTGTTCAAAGCGAGTGGTTGGAGCAAAGGTAAATGCAATAAATTCCGTTTGTTCTTCTCTAAGAAAAGAAAATTTCAGGCCTGCAAGTCCAAGCAACAATAGTTCAATGGGATTGCGGCTTTGTTCGAGGAATAGAGATACTTGCACTTATAGAATTGGTTCTAAAATTGATGAAGTTGCAGCGGGAGAAGCAGTAGCTCAGCATGAGAGTGAGTGCATTCCCATGGAAGACATTGATAATCCTCTAATCTCATTGGATTGTTTTATTTTTCTGTAGAAAGATCGTGTGTGTGTGTGCGTGCATGCATATCTAATTTTACTCGTATTGTTCATAGCATTTCTTGGTTTTTTAACCTTTATGATTGTTTGCCTAAACTATTCATGCATAGTTTTCAAAAGCATAGATAAACATGGATCAAATTCTGATTGATTTGTAGCTGATATTGGTTGTAATTTTTTCCTCATCTTTTTTGTACAAATTGAGGGCATGCTATAATATTTGTTGGTTTGAGATATCTTTAGCGGCACAGGACTAAATTCAATTCAGTGACTGATGTATAACTGTTAGATTTGGTTGATGATGTTAGCCATATTCGTGTAAATTGTACTATGGGACGATCTGATAAAGTCCACATATAATATTTTGGAAGTGGCAACAAAAATTCCTTTGAAAGTTAATGTTTAGGATCTTAGTGCAAACAATTATCTAAATATCTCAGATAAAAACATGTAGATAGATGGAGAACCAATTGCATCATCATCTATTGCACAAGGTGCTAACACAACAGAATATAAAGGGTCAAAATATTTGGATTCATTTCAAAGACTCATCATAATTTCTTGATCTTAATTTTCAAATGCCAAATTTTAAAAAACACGATTGGTGGAATTGTTCCTTTTTATTAATTTTCTCGTCACATGAGCCAGCTTTAGGTTGGGCCCAAGACGTGTAAGCCCAAAAATTTGTATGGATATTGGATGTAATGTAGCACCGAATATAAGAAGGTTAATGACATTTTGAACTCATAATTGGGCTGTATTATTGCCATATATAAAACGTATTTATATCAAAATTGAGAATGCTGTGGATCATCGTTGTCTCTGTGGCAGCCCTAAGATTAAAGATAAATCCCTCGAAAGTCGAAATGTATACTCCAATTTGTTTGTTTTTAACAATTTAACTACTTGATTCCGGTATACAAAATTGTTAGTAAAATCTGAATTTAGTTAACCCGGTGGAATAAAGAATGGCCAAATTATTTAATCAGATCGACAAATATAAAATAAAAGGATAAAGACAAGACTCAGACGTTAAATCAAATAAATATAAATGTTATAACAATTACATAAAGGACAATATTTCGTGCACAAGACAATCTACAAATTTCTTGAATTGTCCAAATAAAGAACATATTGGGCCAAAGAAAAGTTCGTAAAACAACTGAATATTACTAAATACTGGAGTATATATTATATTGAAACTAATTATAAGAATCTGTATACAGAATTCTTTAGCATAATGCTTTAACTTTTGGCACAACCTAGAAAGAAACAATAAATCGAAATGCATGCATATTATAAAAGATAAAAAAAATTAAAAAACAGACAAATATTAAGTAAAATTGCCATTGACCATCCAGGGCAATGTCACTAGCTAAAAGTCACGCAAAGTTATCTAGGTGTATTATATATTCCAGCGTCTAGTTTTAATCTCTCTCATCATAAGCACTTCATCTGGATGGTCAAATGATCGTTTATTCATTTAGAAAAAATTACCTTTGGATATATATAAGTCATAAAGAAGCATATATATAAAAATATATGGTCTTTCTTTATATACTACTACAGTGCATGGGCCAAAAATCATTTTGGACCTTATGAATTCCAAGCATGTAAAATCTACCATGTGGTCCAAGACTGTGGGCCAATTCTGGTTGGGCCTACATCAGGGCTCCTATCATGGGCCAAACTCACGACCTATACCCAGCTTCTCTCCAGATTGGGCTTCATCATTGGCCTCTCAAGGCTAGGCCATTCTTCCACAAAATCCTTTAAGGACCCAAAATCCCACTAAAAGACTAATATATCTATTTCTTATTTGGTCTTTATTCTAATTCACTCAAGATCTTGTATCTTATGTGAATTACGACTCTCAATCCTACAAAGGCAAGTAAATCAGGTTCTTTCCTATTTAATAGAACTCTGCCATTATAGACTCAAAGTCCTATTAGGATTCGAAGACCCTATGACCACTACATAAAGAGAGTTCCTGCCTTCCATTAAGGATCAATTATTCAATACCATCTACATGCAATCAAATTTCTTGCTCTTGAGAACTAACACCTTCGCTCTAGCTCTAGCTCTATTCTCCGATTAGACTCCGGTAAACCATTCCTTCCCCTAACCCTCACTAAATAGCCTCATTCAACTTTAGTGACTTAAGTGTCGGAGTGCCTACGGCAGCCACTGCACCGATGTTTTATGTAAGCTTTGTGCCTTTCTTTGTGTGCAAGTTTAGTGGATTGTTAGTGACCTCAACCTCGCAGGATTAGATCTCATTCCGTAATTGTAGATTTTAACGTCTACATGCAACAGGAGTTTGACCGACATGTTGTTCACTATATTTACGAAGAAAAGAAACGAACGAGACGAATAAGAACATAAAAATCCCACAATTAAAAGATTTGAAACACGAAAAGTATTGGTTGAGATAAATGCAAGTGATGATAATTTGTTAGCGAAATTGGACAGGTAGCCATGTAGGGCAAGCATGTCATAGCCATAATGCAAAACCTAAGAGTGTCATTGACTATAAACTATAAAGACGATTAAATTCACGTGAAGTGTTCTAAATCTATTTGCTACAAACAAAGCAATATGAATATAGATATGCATGCCTGCCAGAAGCAATTCATTCTTCTGTGACCTTATTTTCCTCCTTTCTTCAGGTATATTTGCAGGCACCCAGCCCCCAGGGCCCCTTTTTTTCTTGTATAACTTATTCATAGGTGATCGATTATTCATTTGAATTTAGTAAATACCACAGATACTTTGTCTCCATACCATTAACATATCCCCCATTTTCAGATTAAGTTTCTAGCCATTATCTTTGTTGATCGATGTGACTTTATTACATGATTTGGAACTACAATTTTTTATCATGAAATTGAAATCTGAACACTATAGTATTTATATAAATGTCATAAGCTTTTTATGCTTGGCTTTTGTTTATGATTTTCTTAAAGAAATTCTTTATAAGAAAAAAAAAAAAAAACACTTTAATTTCTCCACAATAGTGGAGTGCTGGGGGGCACTGTTGATGATTTTAATTATTTATACATTTATTTATTTCATTGTAGATATAAAGGTTGACAGCATTTTAATGGTTGGCCATCCTCAGTCTCTCTGCCTCGTACCAAACTCACAAGGAAAATGACCCACAGTGTAACTCATCTATTAATTCAGTAAAGCAAAGGTCAGGGAAGATGAAGAATCCGGCAATTATATTTCTCGTCAGACACCTAGGAGTTAGCTAGAATAGCTTTAAATGTTCATAATTCTTGTTGGCTCTACTTTAAAGTCAATGGTATAAGAATTAAAACTCTAGGGGATGCTTGTGTTTTTTCTAGACACTTAATAGAGTTTAGTCTCACTTAATACTTAAGGTGCTTTAGTCTCACTTAATACTTAGGGTGCTTTTGGTGGGAGGTTATCCTCGGTTACTCTAGTAATGTCATATTATATTATCAATATTATTATGTTTGATTATCAAGTAATATAAAATTTCAGTAATCCTCTAACACTTATAGTAATCATTGTTGATTATATAAGTGGTAATCTAAATATCACAATTTTCTTAAGTGTTCTAAGATTACTTGGTAATCTTAATTTTGTTACAATTATACTTTTAATTAATTAAATTTTTGGACACTAATGCCTTTGTTTTGAAAAAAATTTACAAGAATATTCATAGGCTATTTTATCCTTATACACAAGATTTTTAAGACATTATTACCCTTGTACCTCAACCAAATTACCCAAGCCCACAGCCTCATCTGGCCACCACTACTGACAGTCGTTGGAATGGCACATGACCGGTCAGATCTGACCAACTGTGCACCGATTTGGTCGGAAAGAAACGATTAGATCTATTCTGATTGTTTCTTTTCGGTTAGATCCACGACCAGATAGGCTCATGGCTGGCCATATCGGGTCAGTCATGCACCGTTTAGGCCATGACCAACGGTAGTGGCCAACGACCGGTATTGGCTTGGGTGGGTGGGGATGTTTTTGTTAAAACTTAAACTTTTATTGTGGTTGGGGTGTTTTAGCAAAATCTCAAATGTAAGGGGTTTAAAAAAAAAAAAATATTAATATTAAAAAAGAACAACAATTTAGTAATCTATATAACATACCTACCAATTTATTCCAGTCTAACCAAACACATTTAATATAACATTCCTAGTAATTTTTAAGGTAATCCATCTTCCCATTAATATAACATTTCCGGTAATTTTTAAGATAATATATCTTCCCATTAATATAACATTCTCAGTACAACATTCCTTGAACCAAACACACTAATGTTTTAAGTTATGTAATCATGTGTTTGTTTTTTAAATTTATTATATCTAAATAAAAGTTTTTATATATATTTATATTCATAATATGTTTTTATATCTATAAAAAATTATAGATTATAATTATGTTATTATATTATTACTTGGTTTAGGAATCATTATTGTTAGAATTGAGAGGGCAAGAGAGGCAATTGAAGAGAGCGGGAGTATGCTCGGGAGACATCTGAGAGAAATTCAATTTAATTGTATTGAGTTATTCAATTTGAGTTGTGAATACACAACCTATTTATACAAAAGTGTTATAACTATGTAAGGATATAAAATATTACAAATAATAATACAATCTCAATAATAAACAAAGAAAATTATATCTTAGCATAATTAGGAATAAGAATAATTCACATATTCTCATTCCATGTCCAGATGATATGTGAATTAGTCATTCCATATCCAGATGATATGTGAATTAGTGTCACATATTTTCTTCCCTTATTCACATGTCAACGTTATCCTAATTAACTTTAATTCTAGGTTAATATTATTAATTTTAGAAAATTATTTATGTATGATTAATAGATAATATTGTAAACAGTACAATTTACAATCAAACTTGCAAAAACAGGATCTTGTGATATGAGCCACTAACAATCTTGGTGGACCAGCTCTTCAGGTTGGAACGTTTGGACGCCGTCAAAAT